TGGCTATTCATATAGAATAACATATCTAAGAGGAGATATATTGGTCACCTGTGTTAAATACCAATTTATAAAATTGCATCATAATTAATCTTAAATGAGTTACTGGTGTTGGGATCCGATGGACCCATTTGTGATATATTGATTCTCCTTTTTCTGTGTCGGTTTGATGTGTAGCCCTGTGTTTCAGCCATTTTGTTTTATTTTGACATTTTGTTTGTTTGTTTGTCTGGGTTTTTTTCACAAAAAATATAGAAATAGAAATGTTTTTTAAGTACCATTCGATTACGCAGCCTAATTGAGCACATGTACTTTAAGTGATGTATATTGTGATACGGTTTATTTTTGGTGCATGCGTTTTGCACTAATTTACCTCACGCAAACAATGGTATGAAAGCCATGAATTACAAAAATGAAAGGAAGAAAAACAATAGGAAGATACAATTAGTTTTAACGGGTTCGTTAAAGGCCTGCAAGGAAATTTGTCAGTTCTCTAAATCATTTAACATTGTCATGGCACGGAAAACATTATTGTGATATCTTATCATCAGTGCTTTACTTTTACTTTAAACTGGGGTATTCGGTTGCAGTTTGATACGTGTATATGCATATTGTAAGCTTGTTGTATGATAAGAAAATAATAAATAATGTATTATGTTACCTAGTTTGGAATAAATGCTCTACTGCCATTGTGTCAGTATTATTAAAATCATCCCCGTAACAAATCGCTACGAACTTCAGCAAAATATGTTTTCGAGTATAACGCATTAAAATGGTTTATTGTCATTCCAAATCACTCATTCGTGACCGTTGACTTGTTTTACACTGTATACCGAAAACACTAGTCAGACTGAAATAAGACTAGTATATCAGGACGATGTTTAGTATTGATTTCGTATCAATTATCCATAAGTTAAGTTCCAACACATGTGTACAGGAATGTCACCTTTTTGTCTACCGTATTCATAAACACTCTTAACAGGTTTGAACTGCATTGATAAGGAATTGATTATCTTTCAAACTGCTACTGTATTTATTGGACGTTGTATCACAGTTTCCACTACTATATTGTACCTGTGGAAACAACAAGTACATATGATATTGTTAAAATACTAATAGTAGGATATTTTATATCATTATATTCCGTACCACTATCGAATAACTTGATGACCCTGTTTCCTTGTTTTTATGCAATATTTATCCATACTTTTCTTCACATTTCCTTTATTCAATGTCAGATTTAAATAAAATCTACACATACGTATGCACAACTTACGTATGGAAATTATTATTGTCAAATCTAGGCTTTCATTTTGTATATCTACTGCTAATAGAATGTCATATACAGTGGTATATAAAGGTACATATAAATACAATCTTATAATGTGTAATGTGGAGGAAGTGTTTTTTTTTTGTCCAAACGTTTTCCATGTTGCAGTTTTAATGTCCGAAATAGATATGAATCTACAGCATCAAATTTAATTTCAAAGTATTTTCAGAGCATCATACATTACTGTATCCTATATATATATAGGAGGGGGGGGGCACCAATAGAACACACGAAAATTGAGTTCCATGAAAACGTATTGTTTTACAGTATGCACTATATTGTACATCTACATAAAGTAAATGTGACAGTGAGAAACGAATCTATTCCAAAAATAACCCTTATGTGAGCACCTGCTTTAGATTGCAACCATAATACCTTCCACCAATTGTATGAGGACAATGCTCTTGAGATATATTTATACCAAGTCTGGTTTTATTTATTTCTACCACAGAAAAATGGTTATGAACACATAGGATATTGCACCTATCGTGTTTATAATTACAAAGATTTGTCAGCTTCATTTTCAACTTTATGTCACGAATGTCATGCATATAAAAATGAGATAACTATGCTATTCTACGAAATATCTATTTTTTCTGCTGTGACTTGATAAAGTTCATATATTCGAGGTCCGGTTAATATTAAAATAGAAAACCGGATCATGTTGATTGAAAAACTTCGTGACATCAGTATAGGTTGCCAAATAATCTTTACATTTTACATCCTCTAGGGGGACGTTGTAAAACTGATGAGTTAGTATCTACTGACTGCAGATATCCATGTCAAGTATTACATGTCTATTTGGGTATGTCTTCCAGAATACAATAACCAGATGTTTCCACAGTTTGGAATGACCTACATATAAAAATTTCATAACCCATACTGATAATAAGTAGCTTTCAAAAATTCCTGATCAGTTTACATGAATGTAATATTAACTATTTCTTATTTTCAATATATGTATTAGATAAAGTAACAATAAGATAATGTGCGTTTTTAGAGTTAGATTTACCTTGCAAAAAGGGCACAAAGATTGCACATGTCGCCCTAATTGTATGATATCAAGAAGCGACTAAATCGGGGAACTAACATTTTCTGCTTAATAGCTATATTTCTAATGTGTATCTTGAAACAGTCTCATTTTCAGTCTAAAGGTAAGGTTTTGGTTTCTATTTTCTCACCGAGACATATCAATTGGGGGGTGCAACTCGTTGGATTTTGCACAGAATTATGGTAACTTAGTGTAATGACTGGTTCACACATTGTTACCATATTATGGCTTGTTGGGTTGCAATGTTACATGGAAGCTTGCACAAAACATTACAGCCCCCTAGTAATACGTGCACCGAGTTTACCTACAATGAAGGCAGTCCTTCAATGACCGGTGATAGGACGATGGTAAGAAGTAGGAACAAAGCATTTAACAAATTAAGAAATGCATGTTGTGTTTTTCCTTCTCCCTTATATACGAGAAGAGAATTATTTTTTTAAAGGATCAGCTGATACTGTGAATATTTGATAGGTTTGATTTTTACTCACCAAACTCTTAGATATTTTCTTATGTCCTCCTTGGTCTGGGTTGGTAATTTTATGTATAACATTTAACGGTCGATATAAATGATCTAAGGGACATAAAAACTCAAACAGGAAGAAGGTCTTAAAAAGGAAAAAATCGCCTGTTTGTAGGGAACGTACATTTATAGCTTTCCAATATCCCCAATTCAGTGAAAGCATTCAATTGGTTTGAGTCTGAATGGTGATCGAAATGACAATTTTGTGGCAATAAACAGCTTTTAGGCGTTTAAACGTTCATTATCCGAGACAAGGGTTCGAACTAACAGGAAATGAAGACAATATAGCTTGTAGTGCGTTGACATGAAATAAACAACATCAAAATAATGTATTTTATTATTTACAATCCACTTTACTGTTTGCATCACGGAAGACGTTCTTTTGTTATGGTTCATTGAACTTCGACAAATTAGGCCAAAACCAATTTACGCGTCTAGTAACACAAAAAGGCCAGTGATGTGTTATCTTAGATTATTGTTATTTCAGTAAATAAGAAAAAAATATTGTCTGATATACAGTTCAGTAAAGAAACATTTGGCTCTACTCTATATCATTCTAAATTTAAATTTATATTGAAATGTGATATCCACATGTAACATTTGCCCAACCTTCGGGGTAGCACTTGGTAGACATTGATGGTGGAATTTTTGTCCCCAAGATTTGCCGTAACCTGAATAATACGTTTCACTCATCCGAATCGTGGCATGGTTCAGTTAATCCACATGCACACTTTTCTGATGTTATCTCATATACGTTAATTTATTAATTTAATCATAAGGCCACATGTAGTGCATATCCCGATCTAAATTTAGTACAATCTTCCATTCATGTCGAACGGGAATACCGTGCCCTTCTTATATAAAATAAATGTTCCAGGTCCCACCATCATCTTGTTCTGTAATATTTACACACCTTAAGTTTTGCTTAGAGTATATCGTCACCCTCTTATATCTGACTCATGAGGGCATAAAGTAACATGTTTATACTGTGCCTCTCACCGCACGCAGTATCTTGTGTTGTAGACACACCTACGGAGGACAAAGCTTAGGGAAAATAATAATAGCAACACTGATTATATCCTACCGCCTGGGTGGAGAAATATTGTTTGTATTAGTTGTAATGCTTCATCACTCTATCCATTTATTAGTTTTCCATTTGCACACGTGTGGCCGTGCACACGTGATACAATAAACAAACGAACCAGAGTATCCATTCCCATCTGATTTGGCAATCAAATTAGGTGTGTATATTGATATCTCAATAGTTAATGAATTGAACTATATGATAACTATATGATAATGTTAAATATAGACCTAAGCACCCATGTTGTACTTGGTATACGATATTAATCTACATACATATCACTTCTGAATTAATTTTCAGACAGTCAGACAGACCAGGTATCATATCTTATCAAATGGATGGTCATTAGTAGCATATTGTACAATTGACAATATATATTGTGTAGATATTTTCAGTGTTGTATCAGCTAAACCTGTGGTGCATACATAGAACTCTCATATCAAGTTTATCTCATCACACACTACAATTTTCATACATTATCGCTGTTTATTACACTTTCATAAATAAAAATAAGTAATAAATAAAACTCGAAATGTATGCGTTTAGTGCTGGATACAAGTTATGTAAAGTACTAACGATGATGTACATGTCAAACCATTATTTCGTGACACAAGAACTGGCCAAAATATACATATATCTCGATAGACATCCCACGAGACCGTGTGACAGACGCAAAAATCAAGCAATATGTACCTTGTATACGCCTGTCGTCTGACAAGAGTTGCTGTGAACATGCAATGAGCATGCGCAGAATTCGAAAGATGTTTACATCAAAAACAAACGCGCATATGATCATGATATTTTCTCACTAGTATAAACATTTACTGTTCTTATCACAAAATATTCATTGGTGATGAAAAAAGAAAATATGTTCGTGGTAATAATAATATTGACAGTCTTGCAGTGCCGTAGTGTTACAAAAGTAAAAGAACCGAAAAGAAAAAGAAATTGGATTCCCTTTGCTAATTATAACAATGTCAACAGAATCATGTAAGAGTAAGGAATACCTATTACATACCTTTCGTTGCGAAGAATTGTAGAATAAACCAACGAACTACGAAACAGTTACATTTTTTCAGCAGAGAGTTAAGTATGGGTATATTTGTAGTGATGGTTGCACCATGCAACCCTGATCCCACAGAATTTTCCTTGGCGTCCGTGTGAACTAAACCAGTAACAGCCGTATTCATGATTGCAGATGTTCAGAAAGCGGTATAAATTCCGTCTTGATGATAAAACACAACCAATGTGTTGTCACAACCAGTGTACACAAGGCACTTTCCGGATCATATTAAAAGTCGCACTTAAAAGCAACGAAGCCAACACTTCTGGCCTAACGAAATCATAATAATCTCCAGAGAAAAAACAATAGTGATATATTATGGAAATAGAAGTTAGAGTCTTATCTAGTATATCCCTTTGATAAAATCTTATCCTCGTGCAAAGATGAGGTATGGAAACATTTGATGTAAAAATTGCTTGGTAGCATAACACAACCACGGTGTTAGAAGGACCGTGCCCTGAGTTGTAGAAACACGCCGTGCTACTAAGCGCCCTAGGACGACAAACAGTGACTGAGAAAAAATTGAAACCAATCCAAGGCCGAATTGCAGTGCAGGGTGCTGTTTAATACCCAAAAGTACTCCGTCACGACGCAAACCTCTCCTCTTCGATATTAGACGCACATGTACACACAGTCATGACTTAGTATACTGAGGGGATGATTATTTCATCTAATAAATGCACACAGAAGCACTGAAGATATTTATTAGTATTTAGCGATGTTGCTGTACCACTTAGTATTGAAGACCATCCACAGCACGGTTCTATAGGTGTATCATAGATTGAGTGAAACACTACAGCTAACCATATACACTTGGACGATTTCATCAGGTAGAACACATTCCGAAATTTGCAGTCAACCTTAGTAGTTAGTTAGTGTACATGCGTTACGACTTTTTTATCAGTTGGAACACATTCCGAAAATTGCCACCAACCTCGATAGTTTCGTTACGACTCTTTTATCAGTTGGTAGACATTCCGATATTTGCTGTAAATCACACGGCTAATGAAAAACATCCGTCCAGTATAGGAATATACATTGTATGAACCTAATAAGCGTGGACCAAGTAACAATGAAACACCTTTGTGTATAGGTATTGATCTCGATAGTCACTGAAACAATACGTTACACTAGACTAGCAATTCATTCTGGCAGTAACCTTCTATCCTTTCAATAATTAATGTTAACAAGCAAAATTACACAAGCATGGTAATTTGTTAAGATCAATAGAGTTTTGATACATATACCATCACTTCAAAGTCTCGATATTATATCATAAAGTGACATGATTATCGGCGACTCTTTTTCAGCAACTATGTACGGTACCAATGAAACTGGAGTAGAAAGATCACCCTGTGATCAGTTCAGCTCTAAACCTAAAGCGATCAAATGCCTATCATATACTTTAAACGCACAATCATATAATACAAGTCACGGTTGTAGCACAGAGTTTTATTTCACAGAGTAATTTCTCTGCTTCTTAATGGTGTTATGTTGATTTTCGCCGTGGCGAAGTTATTTCACAGTGCTCGCAGACCATAACGTATTATTGATTTCTGTCAATTAAACGAATGTCAGACAATTACAATACTATCTGGTATGTACATTTCACTTCAGCACTCTCACGATGACAGTTGTCGGTCTTGAAAATTTCACAACTGAAAATGGACAATTATTACCAGGAACAATTTATGCTTTTGGTCTTACATAATAGGCAAAATAACGGGAGGTCAATTAACAACTTTTTCTCGACTTTATGGATTAGTAATTATGTTTTTGAATTTAACAAGGCCAATAGCATTTTAAGAAGAACCACACTATTTTCAGTCTTATTGAAAGTAAGGTTTTGATATACAATATATGTATACTTGTTAAACGCGGCCTTATTCACGCCTCCTCAAAATTTGTCTTCAAAAGCAGTACATTATTGTTGAGTGATACCGCTATCATTATCTCTAGTTTGTGATTGATTTCAAAACATTTTTATACATGAATTAGCATCTCAAACTCTAGTGTTTTGTCAGAAAAAATATTGTCAACTATAAACCTGTTGAAAAGCACGTTGATTTTAATGTGTTAGACCTATAGTATACCTATAAAAGTTATGGCAGGGAAAGGATCACCAGCTACGTAATTAAATGTCTCTACCAGAGATAAATTATTGAAGTATTGATTCATTACGGTAGCATGACCTACTTTTCTGGAAAAAAAATCTTAAATATTACATTTAGAAACGGAACGAGTTTACAACTTTAAGAAAAAGCTGTCATTTTGTTACTAGTTTAGAGTTGTGTTTGAATTATTTCGATTATTTACAGTTCCAATCTGTTACAAATAAGCACGCGAGCAAATTCTTATACCGGAAAATCATTTAGTTTTGTTTTATGGATTTCATGGGTATTCTTAATCCACACAAACCAATGCCCACGATTCGATAAGATTAATATGAGTTGATTTATCTAGCTGTATTTATCCCGCATTCATATATCCTTAATATAGTGATTATTTGACAAACCATAAAAGATGAGCACCGCCAATTACATAATTATACATTATTCACAGTGCATGTGAATATTTACGTCGTCTGGAATCTATCCTAATTAAACAAATCGTAGATAATCATTCAATCCAGTCGTCGTGATGCCTGATTAGTCTTTATACGTAGATAAATAACGTTAATCTGGTTGTCTGTTCAAAAGAAGAGATGAACAAGGTAGCACTGGACCATCTGGTAGCCGCTAATGATGACTATTCAGTCAGGACAGTGTTTGTTCACCTTCACACACTACCAACTCTCGGTAATGTCCATTTGATGGGTAAATGTTTATTCTGGAACATAATAGTGCGAACAGCCGTATACAAATGTACCGCACTCACCATTTCTACTTTGATCAATGGCCTCTTAAGTATGGCCGTATTACACGATAGAGTCATACCGAAAATAACACAATTTATAGAAAGCACTTTGCCTAATGTTGATTAATACATAAGAATTATTTGCTGCCTTGAACCGCTCTAACTCAAATAGCACATCATTTTCCCGTTAAACGACCACTCGCTGCTCTCTTGATCGTCCATATCACCTGAAATCTACAGTATAATCAGAAACTGGTCAGATGGAATCATGGCATACAGTGATAACGTTAAATCGAAAAATTGAATGCCTTTCATACCTTTAATAACAATTATTATTATGCTTCCAAGAATAAGGGATCAATTCAGAATATTGCAAAATTCGACGAATAGTTGTAGTTTTTTATTAGATAAAATTAAACAAAATTGAAAACAAACAGGATATGATCTGGCATATAAATAACATCAACAAAATATAGATCATTCAAAAGGTTTCGAAAACACCGTAGATAAACATAACAATTCTATTCCATGGATTGTTATCAAGCAGAGAATGGAAACCATAAAATCATATATACTCGTGGTTCCTCAAAAAATATTGTTTAATTGGCAAATGATTTAATTTATAAAAAAGTACTCATGAACTCTACTAGTATTAAAAGGATCAATTAACCCGTGGATTAATGACATCAACGAAAGCAATGAACATAAACCTCTAAGATGTTTATTGACTTTATAGGTGCTAAGACCGATTTGTTTAATTTGTGATAATTAATGAAACTCGAGAGTAAAAAAGACAATACCCATTAACAATGCATTCTTTGTTTTTTCTGATCCTCAATTCTAGATATTGTTTACGCAACAAATCGTTCAATTCAATTATTGATTACATATTTGGTCTATTTATAGAAACATGAGAACAAGGTATTGCTGTACGTAATCTGACGCCATACAGAAGATGGTAGACGTACACAAATTTCCATTGTATTAAGAAAACTTCGTGGGCACACATTTAATTAGCATAACACATTTCACAGAAAGAAAGACAATATGACACCTATTCACACATGTTTTACTTGGCTGCCTTCCGAGATTAAAAAAGTAGCTCCTGGTTCCATAATGCATACCACATCTGTGGTATACGTTTCCCGGGTTTTTTTCTTTATGTCCCCAAGGTTATTGCATACAAACTTGAAATACGTAAAACTTCATTGATCAAAAGTTCCCAATAGAATAAGGCAATGTAATTAACTGATTCAGTTATACTGCCATATTTAATTACAACACATCCAACAATATATATATATACATATAATTTATTGCCCCATTACGAAATGATACTTATGGAGATATTTCTGTGAGGACTTATACCTCTGTACGTAAAAAAGTATAAAGTAATTGATTGCGAGATCAATTTCATCAAATATTTTAAGAACTGTTTTGGATACTTTTCGTGTTAATACCACTGTGGGTAATTAATCTAATTTGGTCCGATACTTCATTAATGTGATATGTCAAAAATATATTTTACCTCATCCGGAGGCTGAGAAGACTGAAACCGTACAAAAGAAACAAAACCATACTAAGAAATGTAGTGCTAACTGCTCGAATATAGCGATTCACAACACTAGATACGTCTATAACACAACGCCAGACTATCTCTGTTGTGTAGTGGTCATTTAAACCATTTTACGTCATAGAGCGATCGAGGAGATCCCAAACGTGTCTCCCCTACAGACTACTTCATCACGATATCTCTTTAACGGGATGTATACTGACAATAAGACCCTGAGGCTTATCGACAGGGTAAACATTTAGTTTCTTCTGGTTTCGAACGGCAACTTGCAGAAACGACCAACAATTATTATAATTACACTGTATAATATTTGATTTGAAGCACACATTTGCGGAGAAAATATCAGCGACAGCGTTTTATACTGTATGAACATATAGTTTTTTAACACGATTTGCAAGCTGATGATAAAAAAAATCGCAAACGATGTTCAGCACAAGAACCTATTGGAGAGATCATATATTTATAAATACATCTATGAATCCTAACGGAATATGTATACATCAATTACAGGTTATAAAACAAACATGTTATCACAAACCTCCATTTCAACAGTCTGAACCTTATGCAAGATTTCCCAGTAGTGACTTTATACTTCCATTCACAATGGAGCAGCTTTGTAATTGTATGTCATCAATCGTTATAACAACGCATTTTTTAAAACTAGTCAATTAATAAATGGACAGGCATTCGCCTACAATTGCTTAACCTTTTTCAACTAACAAATTGGCAATTGGGCACTATCAACTTATCAGAATGTTCTGTAACACGCGATGATTTATTCATATGCAGAAAGTTGAAAGACGAACACTAGTTAACATTATATGGTAAAAATATATCTTGAATTTCTTTTTTCACCTAAAACGACAAACAAATCTGCATCCGGCTTTCACTTAAAAACCTATCACGAAGGACTAGACACAAGGACACTCAAACAATCAGACTTCAATCCATTACAAACACTCTCATGAATGTAATTAAACACGCAATCACCTTATTCATGAAATAGCCCTTACCGATCACCTAGACCGAAAGAGGCAGCACGATGAATCAATTGTCCTTGGCCGCTGGATCGTTCCACATCGTCTGTTATATCACTTTCACTTTAATGAGCTTGTTATACATGGCCTAAGAAGCATATATGTAATCAACAACCTATCTAG